TTTTCGTCTCTAAAAATAGTTTTCATGAAAACAGAAAAAAAACTGATGCCGGAAAATACCGACGGAAAAGTTGTACAGACTGAATKATTTTTCTGCACTATTTTTGCCCTACATTGTGATTGGATTAGAATTGTGGAAACGTGGAAGCCGTTYGTATGTTGTTTTGTGACCTTACCTACTCGGCCGTCGTCACTTATAAATACGAAAAGCGCTCGGAATATAAATAATTAATAAATACCGATTATAACAACTACTACCAACATGACCATCTTACCTATTTGTCCACCTCGAAGACATTTGTATAATCTKCCGTGTATAACTCGATCTCGAACTGGCTGATTTTTGGCGGTGAAAATGCTAAAAGACTTCAATTGCTGCCAACTGTATTTGAAATAARAGATCTAAAGTAAATCGGTCTAAGCTTTGAAAAAATGTTGTCCTTATGTTTGTCCTTATTCATGGTGTTGTGGAGGTTCAGCACGTTCCGTCCAATTATACACCGTATATTCCAATCACATGACAAATTCTATGACGTCAGTATTTTTTTATAAAATCGATATCAAGGAAAATATATTGTGAAAATAAATTCGGCACTTAGTCTTCGTAAGTTGCAACTCAAAAAAAAAAGAAAAGAAAGAAAGAAAAAACATATATATCATATATAATATTGGGATATTAGTGAGTTGGAGTCGTTTTTGACTTTGGTCTTTTTTCAGTGGCATGAATATGAATACTCTCYGACCATACTAGCTACATTATATGACGTAAACCTACTTGAGAGTCACTAGACTGGAAACCAATATTTCAACATCAGAGAAACCAATATTCAAGAACGTGGTGGAAGTTCGAAACATTTTGTGTGACGTTTGTCAGTCATGTGCGTTTTAGAAAACAAGCTCCAACGACACTAGTTTTACTTTCTTTGCATGTGGCGTYGGTTTTGTTTTGCTGGACCTGTGCAGCTGGAAAATACTTGTGAGTAGTGAGTGTCAATGTGTCGTATATTCAAACATTAGCCTCTAGTAAGGGAGACTCGGCAACGACTTCCCGTGCAAGACGTAAAATAAAAATAATTATTTATATATGTCTTATTTAATTATYATTACGTATCCATTTAAGTCCCCGACGAGTATGACGAGTTCATTGAGTCTAAAGGCGAAGAAAAGACTTAAGTTAAGCATATTTACAAGAATTTCATTAAGATAATCTTAAAACTAAGAGCCAGCAATATAACGATTCAGAGGCTRCAAGGTAGTTCAAAGTTTGAACCTTGCAGCGTCGGTTGAATGCGYTGTTTGAACAGTGAACCATTAAGTGGTAATTTTTGTTGAACACTAGCTATTTTTAAAGTAAAATTACCTAGGAAAAAAGCCCCGTAAAATAAGGAAGTACACACTACACTTAGATTTTTATTATCGTTTTGTGCAACATGGCGGAAGTCGTAGCGACCTGGCAACCTATCTGATTCTCTCAAGTAGTACTTGGTTTTCATTGGATTTTGTTTAACGTATTGGTGATAAACCTCATCATGATAACACTTTGCCTGTTTTTCACCGCATTTATGGTCTTCAAGCCACGTAACATGCCCGACTCATTAATGACCTTAAGTACCTCGTTACCTCCCTCTACGTTCTTTGCAGATACCGTTAAGCAATTAAACCGTTATCAGTCAAAACTGAGAACCAATCTGTCTAATCCGATCAATGAATATTAAAATCTARTTCCAAATGTTTTTGTTGGTGTTATCGTTAATCTCAATCAAGACAAAAATCCCACAATCGTTACTAACGACCCAAATTTGCGTAGATTCTCTGAATACATGTTCAAATGTTGACATTTGAAAGCTCAAATTTATTGAGAAAAATTGAATTATGTTCAATGTCTCGATGGCAATTTCGATCGCAAATAAGATTAATTTTAATCGAAAGAAACCACAGGTAACCCAAGCTATTTAATTTCATTGCTGAGGTCGAAAATTAATTTTTCCGAATTTAATTCCAAGGGTCTTTCGCCCGGAATAACCTCGTTCCCAAGCACTATAACTTATCTATATTTCTATATCTTTATGTTTCATTGGGAATGCTATCTTACAAGAAATCATAGGGCGATCCACAAAAAATAGTCTAATAAAAAAGTCTAATATATTGTTTTTTAATGGATCATATATTTTGTAAGATCGATAGTATCACAAAAGCATTGCTTGGGTTTCCTGTGGTTACTTTGAACGYTTTGCTCAGGCCCCGAACCCGTTTTTTTTTTGCGTCCAAAATGAGTGCGAGGCTTAGGGAGATGAATTGCCATCTAGAAAATCTTAGAACCAAAGTCGCGTTTTCGCGAAATTTATACGAAACACATATAAGGCATGGCTGTCTCTCACTGTTTGTTACCGCATCACCCAGGTTAAAACGATGGCTGGAGCAATGAGGGTGAAGTTTCTGGGGCGAAAATAACTAAACGTGGAAACGCCCTTAAAAGACCCTTARAGATCAAGGAAAGTCAGACTCGTGCCCAGTCGTCACTCACGCTTTTTTAGTGCGCGCGATGGCTTTTGGGAARGAGAGAGAAAAAGTGGCCGCTTCCCTTTTCTCTTCCCTCCTTCCCTAGTTGCACCGCGAACTCACTAAATCCTACTCATCAACCACAGCATGAGATCAATAAGGCAAGAAAAGCGACTGGGTACGAGTCTGAAGGAAGGTTATGAGTTCATTATGACACTCCCTAAAATATAACGTCACCAAATGACATTACTTGTTTCAGGGCGTTCTGCGACCGGCGGTTTGTCATTTTTCGCGTTCCACAGACCAAATACCACAGAGAAATGATTAATGAATTAAATGAAGAGTCTACTGAAAATATTCTGAGGTTTAATCCCTTTCGTTGAGTGCAAATACTCMAAGTATAAACCCACTTYTTACAATTGTTGTTGGCATATAGGGCCCGTTTGTACGACRAGTGGCGGGATAGCGCTATCCATGGATAAWTCCTTATCCAKTGGATGAGTCGATGCTGTTATCCATTACATTTAAGATAACATTCTTCCGTCGGAYAGCGCTACCCACCCTTAGTATAACCGGKCCCCTGAAGTGAAAYTATAGTTTTCGTACTGGATACTTTAGCCTAGTTTTACCTAGAGGGAGCTGCGGAAAGGGTACGATTAATAGGGAGTTTAAATTCAATAAAATCAAATACCCTAGAAAATGACGTGGCCAACAATGCCCGTTGCTGGCGAGAAAAACCTTTCGTAAAGTTCAGCCAACATGGCAGACATCAAAACTCGCAAATAAGGCATTGTTTACATACTTTACAAATAGACCCCCTCCCGCGAGCAGCATTCAAGCTCCGTAAAARCGGTTAATAAAACTACTATTACTATTAAGCGGTCAAATTAAAGCAAAGTGAAAACCCCTGAATTCACTTTAACTTATAATATTACAAATAAGTTACGAATAAAGTTGGGTACAAAAATAAATAATGTATAGAATAACTCTTTTTGGATTCAAACCGCCAAGTGTCAAGAAATTTTTTCTAAACAGGGCAAAACTTTTTTGATGAAATAATATTCAATACTGGAACAACTTGGAAAACTCACGCGTAAAGTATTCAATGAGTTAAAGTTAAACCTTTTTTTCCAATTTTTTAAACTTTTTAAAATTCACCGAATAAGAACTATAAACTAGTTCTGAATGTTTAGAAACTGGTAGCCATAGAAAATGAGATTTTCGATAAATTTGGAAAACGTTATAAAATGTACATCTCTGCGTAGAGCATGGAAATATTGTTTTGCTAATGTAAGAATAAGCAGATGTATTGAAACCTTCTGTTTCCATTTAAGAGTTCCATTTCAGGGGCGGATCCAGGAATTTGTTCATSGAGGGGTGCACTGCACAAAGTTAACCCAGRGAGGGGTGCACCCCTTAKAATCAAAGGGAAAAAACATTATTTTGCATTGGTTATCTTCGAAGTAGGGGCGCAGAGTTGAACCAGGGAGGGGTGCGCACCCCCTGCACCCCTCCCTTGKRTCCGCCAMTGCTGAYTTCTCTTACATATGAGAATTTGGAGGAGTCCGCCSTAGCACAGGGAACCCAACCTCGCGTTTTTTTAGTATATTACAGTAAATGTATCAGATTATAAGAACAGGACGCGAAACAAAGGTACACTGAAAACAATAACTGAATTCTTCAAAAAAAAGATTTAGCTAAATAAAATCGATTTATTATCAACTACATACATTTACTGTAATATGTGCTGACACAAAAACCAAGCTTTGGCACCCTGTGGTCTAAGACATAAAATCTGGAATCCAATGCAAGATGCGTAATAAGCCATTCCGAGGTTGAGGGAATGACTGAGTCGAGTTCGCATTCAGTGCAATTTGGGGCTGTTTTAGGCCCAAAACGCACTGCAATGTTAACTCCACTCAGTTTTCCCCTCAACCTCGGAACGRCTAATCTAGAATCCAATATACAAGATACAGCTTGAATGGATAGAATCCACGTATCGTTAGTCGCCACCATTAGAATCCCTTGCGTGGGCGACTGAATGRTAATATATATTCTCAGTAGGGAATAAAATGTAGCGCATTGAAAGTACACTCTACTACAATCCCACGCAAATGCCCCTGAAGGTTATATAATAGCTAAATGACCTTTTCGCTATTGAGGAAAATGCTTTCCTATTCTTTGGGGGTCTGGCAGGAGAGAAATGAGAGAGGAAATAAATGGGAGTGGAGGAGTGAAAGAGGTGTGTGGGAGGGAGAAAGGAGAACTTCACAGCAGGCGCTTCCTTCCCCTTCTTCGCTTCCCTCTTCCACCCACATCCCTAATGCGGTGGCAAGCAGAACAGACTTTCCCAATTCAGACCACATGTCATTTCCTTGAGTTTTATAGCGTATCTTTCCGAATGGTCAAGAAATTAAGTAAATACGGTTGTACCTTAGCGAAACAAGTATTTTTTAGTGTTTTTTCCCAAGCGGAAAAGGTCCACAAACTACGGTACAAAATAGCCTTAAGTTAGACCGAATTTCATACCTAATRATTTATCATAAATTATGAAAACCATTTCAAAACCATGGCTCACAACCATATACCATGCCACAAACCACAAAAAAATGTCTTATTGTTTTTACAGACCCTTGCGATAAATCCCAACCTGTGGGGTCAAAACAATGTAATTCTTTTAAAGCATCAGTGCTCAAGAGAAGGGAATCATTTAGTTTTGACTCCTAGCTTGAGAAATAACGCATGGGGTCGGTATGATGAAGTCGTACCATACACCATGACTGCACGACAGATCAATCATCCTTGCACTCTATCTGGGACTTCTTGTTATGCATCAAATGWTCAAAGAAGCACTCCACTAGGCGACGAGCCTGGACAATAGACATGACAAGAATTAATACTTTAAAGGCCTTTGTTATTATCTAGAAAACTGACTGTGACTAGATAGATGATGCTCGCTTTTGAATGGACGACTTACAACAACAAGTCACGTGACACTACCTTCTTTAAACCAGCCGTTATGTAAACGTTGAACACCAAAATTGAAATCACTCCCCGTACGTTACTCTTCTGTAAGGTTTGCTCCATACGCACTACCACTACAATCACTATTTAGATCGCACAACTAATTGGTAAGGCTGCGTACATAATGTATGACAGGGTGGGGCTTGTGAAATTGAGGGGAGATCGAGAAAATTGTGGTAGAAAAAAGGGGGGATGGACAAATGTTCATCAGAAAAATGGGGGGATGCACAATTTTTGGAAGAAGCTACAAGCCTTGCTAAGGGGGGATCATATTTTTTTGCATGACTTTAAGGGGGGTGTGAAGAATTATTCTGGACATTTCAAATTTTCACCTCCCCCCCCCCCCCTGCCATACATTATGAACGCAGCCTAAGAGGGGAAAAAACCTCGCGGCAAAGGAGACAACGAAAACTCACACAAACTCAAGTGACTCGTATTTCAGTCGAGATTCGCATTTCAGTTATTGTCAGTCGAGAATCGAGCCTGCGACACCAGCCGGCTTGAACTGCGCGGCGCATGCTGTCCACTCTGTTAGAGTAGAATGGAAGCAATTGAAATGATCAATCGGTATCCTTACCTTTTTGAATGATTTCGCGGCCAGGATGTACTTCCCATAGCTAGTAGCCAAAGAATTGCTCTTCAGAGGACTAAAGATAATCAAACGCATCAGTTGAACGATTTACTTCTACGTATTTTTATCACTAAATGAAAAAGTAAATGGGTTTGTGCGGTGTCTTACCTTCCAAGTAGCGTATCAAAAGATGTGACTGCTCCATCTCTGACTACCGCCATTACTATACAAGAACCTTGGGATAGCTGCGAAGCCTGTAATGATACATAAGGACAGACAGACAGACAGACAAATAAGCTGATTAAACAGCGCAGGACAGACAGACGGGTTAAAACGGTCTTGACAGACAGACAAAACGAGCTAGAGAAACAGCGCGCACACGGCAAGACAGAGCAACAGAGAGTAGATTGTGAAGAGAGAAACGGACAGAAAGATAAAGCGAACAAAGTGACAGACTGACAGACAGACAGACAGACAGACCGAGGTAAAGCTTTCTCACCATTTGGTATTGTTTGATATCAGCCGGTATACTATCCCCATACATCCTCGTACACTGTGCTGCTTGTTTATCGTTTAGCCGTAACATACGAAGTCCAACGATTTGTAATCCCACACTTATCAGGCCATCGATGACTTCGGTAAACCCTGGACTCGACCTGATAGTTGAGGCTCCCCCCTGGATTTTCAATAGATTTGGCAGCAGTAGAATACAGTTGACTTCGAGTAAGGAGGGTGGCAGATAAACAGTTGAGAATTCGCTAACTGTACTGCAATTAGATTTGGAGTCTTCTGGGACATCTACAAGGGTTCTTTGAGCGTCAGCGTTGAAAATCTTATCAGATGACAGGCAAGGAATCTGTCCACAGAGAGAGAGAGAGATCAAATCGTGTTTAGGATCCCGCGGGAATCCCTTTGCCAGGGGTAATTATGGAGAAAGGAAATAAAATACTACTGACCCCCTCAGCTTTAAGATCAATGGTCGGTGAACAACAGACACCTTGGGCGAACAACAGCTTATGGTCTTGGACTGCATTCTCATATGAACACGAACCTACGAAGAGAAGGAACATGACATCGTTATCAACGTTCTCATCATCAATATCATCATTAATATCATGTTTCTCTTTTGAAAAATCTTAATGATCAAAACATACATAGAGGATATTTATTCCTTGTTTATCTTCGAGTGAAGAATACACGAGAAGRTAAACTTCATATCTTCAAGCCAACGTGTAATTTTCTTTTTATTATATAGACAAATCCACAAAGAAAAACTACGCAAGTTAATCAAAACAGGTCCCGGGAAACATCGCAAGTGACGCAATAGATRTCCTCACTAGTGAAGATATGAAAATATGTTACTCAGGTCCCGGATGTAGCTTGTACGAAAAATACGAGTGGCGCATTTTCCAGTAAAACACTCGTGTCTACATAATGAATGATATCATTTTCACAGCACATCACATTATCATAACTGTGACGTCATAGTCAAATCACTACATCTTCACCATGACGCCACTTTTTATCCCTATCATCATCAAATTTATGTCATCAACGTCCTCACGCAATTATTACCGTATAGTGCGTTCCTGATCCGATCAAGTCCATACGATCCTCTAAGATAGAACTGTGACTCCTGTCGACATTCATCAGGATTGCCTGGTCCTARTACATCTAGTAGCTTACCAATAGCATTCTCTCTCTGAAGGCTRAGTATGATCACTGGACCAGAGGTAAGGTGTTTGACATGGGTATCCTACGAAGAAAGTTGTAGTAGTGTAACTATAGTGCGTGAATTTGCGCGCACTTCCGGTTCTCGTTATTTCCGGTGCATTAACTTCCGGTACATCTACTTCCGCTTCCCGATATTACTTGCAAAAGGGAAAGTTTTGTCAACAGATAAAGCATTTTCTTACCTGATCATCTTTCAAGGAATCCCAGTCTCGTAGGACTAACGCCAAACCATCTCCTTCAGACAGGTAGTCCATCTTCATATTGACAACATTGAACCCTTCACGGGTAAGCCTCTTGAGAACCTTGCCCACATGTCTGGGTACAGCATCGGGTTTAATAACACAGACAGTRGTCAGCAATCGCGGTCCTGCTAAGAGACTGGCAATGATAGGTACATCATCAGGTGATAACGTCCCGTTGGTATGTGCATTCCCACGTGCAGGGCTGTTACTTCGTGCGGATTTCTTTACTTTCTGCTTTGGACTGGCTTCTATATGGCTAGCTCCATTAGTTATAAGATCTCTCCGTGTTTGTGGTAGGTGGTGCTGATTTGCGCGCATGGAATGRTCAGCATGGAGCTCGTGTTCGAAGAAGATGGCCGTCAGCTGACGATACGCRATCTCAGGAGTCGAAGACATGAACATATCAGGACACCTTTCATCCTTGTTTTGTAGAGGACGCTTCTTTGGAGAGCAGCCGTAGTGACTATGGATAAAGTGCCGCAGTCTTTCAAAGGCGTTTATACCCCGCAGCGCACAAATCAAGGCAGGTCCTGATGTTAGGGGTTTAAGGCTGCTTTGCCACAGTTTGTCGCCTATTTCATAAGGTGTGAACTCTTTTGCTTGATGCATAGTCATKGAGGAMACGAACTTGATGCCAAGCAGTTCGAAGCCACAGTAGATYTTATCAAAATCATCTGTGTTCATTTGGAAAGTACGAGGCGAGTCGAGAGTGAGTTGATCAAGAATATCGTGGCAGTACCTCGTCGCTTTCTCCTTCAGCAGAGTTAGCACACAAACTTGTTCCAGTTCAGGGTTAGAGTGGAAGGAATGGCTCAACGAAGCAGCGGCGAARAGGTTGGARTTTTGCGTTTCCTTCATCTTCTTTCCGAGGATATGTCCAATGTGTTCGCTGAAGGGGAYGGCTGCAAAACACAACTTGCTGGCAACTGCTTGGCCTTGGGATGTTATCTCGCGTGGCAGGTACTCCATGTGGGATAACTCGTCTGTTAAGGCTGCCACGAGGGAGGATACTTGGTGTATTCCGTTCTCTTTACGTAAACAAATCATAGTACAGGCGCAAGAAAATGGCGTCTGCGCATCCGGGTTAYGGCYGTCAAAAACAAAAACTTGAGACGCAGACTGGTCGCTTGCAAAGCTCTTGGCTGGGCAGAATATAGGAAGTTGAGAGGCAGTTAGTCCTAAGGCATCTCTATTGCCGTCTTTCTGATTTGGTGGATGGAATCTGATTCTTCGTATTCCCTGTAGTGTGAACCCCCTAGAGTTACAAATAGCCAGAATGATTCCATGGCATCTGGGAAGGATKWGCGGAGAAGCAACAATCACGACCAAGGATTCTGTGGACGCAACCAGAGTACACGGGGGAGAAGGTAAAGGAGTGTGGAGAGCGCTCGTTGGTGTTCCTGCGTGTTCCTCTTTCCTTCCCCGGGACCCGGACCTTGGTCTTTGCACAACCACATCATCACTACCGATATTCAACGTATCTCCTGGGGGTACCCGGCCTCCAAACCAACGAGCTAGTTCTGTTTTTGCACGGTCAGTATTGCGTGGGCAATAGAATAAATGGTCTTCCTTGTCTTCGGTGCCATAGACTGCTCGTAAGGAGGTGGGGTCTGTCCGACGCGMAAGCCATGTGTCTTTAGGGCCTACTGCATCGAGCCAACGGGACAAGGAGTGCGGACCCCTGATGGCTAGAGCAAGTAGAGGACTGCCATTTTGGAAGACGTTAGAACTGGACTGATCTAAGCCTGTAAATGAGAACAAAGATATAGTTATATAACTATAGGCACTTTCTTGTCCTTCTGTGTCAAAATACTTGGGTAGAAAATGTCGCAWAGTGTTTGCATAAACGAAAAAACCCCGGAATATTGACTAGATTAAGGCAAATTTTAACAAAATAGGGTGTGCGCAACTGGAATTTCCTTCAAGCTTTGTGACTGGATGCTTTTTGCTTCATCTTCTTGATTGGCTCCCGGAGAAACCAATTGAGAATCCTAGCTACATGTATCATTCAAGGCTCCCACGTATTCGACATCAAGTCGCAGAAACGTCGAGAATGGATATAATCCACGTATTCAAACCTACCTGGTCTTTCATCAAAGGGTACTCTATGAGTATACAACAGACGAACACCAGCCAGGTCTAGCCCTTCCTTCCACACACGGTTCAATATATCAAACATGCACATGGGATCATGAAGTGCAAGAAACTGAACAAGCATCAAAGTGTTTTGAATTTCCGGTCCGCAGTATTCAATGTTGGACGAGCTGGTATCGATTGTGTCCTCGACCTCGTGCGTCTTCCAGTAGAAACCAGGCTCCGCTCCAAAAACGCGGATCATGGCCTGGGGGTCTGGGTTGATTGTTAATAACGACGACAAGTTTTTTTGACTGAAGGACATGTTGACAAACACAGGYGGGTAACCTACTATCTTAGTCAAGACACTACTTAGAGTATTAGTCCTTAAGAACTTGGCCACCGCAGTTTGAAAGTTGTTCCTATTACTTCCTTGCTTTGCGCGAGTACCCTGAAACTCCTCCCTRCTGCAGATTCCAACTTTGATTGACAGCTCTCCCTCGTGCCATGTTTGTTGGAGCCCAATAACGTGGAACGGCGCTTCGCAAAAACCTGCATGGTCTTCATAGTGGGTGTATTCTGGTACGCACACCATGGATAATAGCCATGYTAGAAGTGTGTTGAAACAGTGGCAGTCTGTGTTTGCTTGGTTGCCTTTGTTACCACCTTTTCCCCAGCTTCCTTTGTTTCCTCCTAATGACAGTTCTCCGCAGGTAGAGAGAGGGACTGAGAGAAGTAGGTAGCTCTTGGATGAAAAATTGTCTGGTAGACTTGTGGCTTGTGGCTCGTATGAAGCCTCCTATAAAACAAATGAACACCTGTGAAATATGAGATATAGAATTCCGGGGCACCACCCCACCCCCCGGTACACATACACACCCTACCTCAGTCCTACACTGGCGCTCATACTTATCGCCTCCCGCCTCCCCCCGCGGCTAAGCAATCAAAATGTCTTACCAAATCAAAGACGACTGGTGTCTCAGGTGCCGCTATACAGACACGCCCTCCAGGGGTTCTTGACTCACGCTCGCGCTTGACACTCTCTAGCCTGTGTTGTATTCGTAATTTCTTTGCCTTCATTTTCTCGTTAAGGATCTTCTCCTGGTTGTCTTTCATGGATGGCTTGGATTCTTTCTCTTTGCTACCAGTCTCTTTGATGCTTTCTTCTTGCTTCTSTTCCTTTATCATCTCATCTGTTCTTTTCTGTTGGGTTTCTTCGCTATCAGACCTTATGTTCACCACTTCGTCTTTCTTAACAGATCTCTTAATGTTTTCGGGTTTTACACGCTTTTCGTCTGGTAAAGATTTCCTCTGCTCGGAGCCTCCTTTCTCTGTCTCATTCTCCACCCAAGCTTCTTTCCTCCCAGTCACCATTACCTCAGACTCTAGATCTTTGTTAGCAAGAAGCATCGAAGCTATCCTTTTGTTAACTTCTTCAGCCCTGGAATCATCTTGTTTTGCATTTTCAATAGGCTTGGGCTCAGGTGATGCCACTGTCGAAAGAACAGTTTCGTGTTCTCGCGATTCGATGGAAACAAACTCTGCTACATTCTTGTTAGGCGAGGATTCATCTATCTTTATCATAACGTATTCATCATCATCATCGTATTCATCACCATCGTTTGATTTCGACTCCTCACTCTTCTCGGCCGATTTTTTTTCACCAAAAGAATGTTTGATCTCCAAACGTTTTTCTGCTTTTATCTCTTTTCCATTTTTCTCTTGATGCAAATTCAGTGATCTCGTTTCCCTATCATCAGCCTTGGTTTCTGACTCGCACGCATCTGTGGTGTTTTTCATGGGTCGTGACTTTACTGTGTTTGTTCCGTGTGCTTGGTTTCCGGCTGCGAGTGCTTGTTTTATTCGTCTTCGCTGCTCGTGCCATAATTCCATGTCATTTTCGTCTTCAGAACTGCTTGATGAACTGAAGGATACAAAATAGAATTAAAAATAATAAATCATCGTCATCATCCATCATCATCACTCGAGAAGTGTTTTGAAGCACTGCGCTACGCCTCCTGCTTCTCCTAATACTTCTCTTGTGTTCTGCCAATCCCGCATGCTTTATAACTAAACATGTGCGCGCCTTTTTTCAATACAAACTGTAATCAAACTCAATACCTGTCTTCTTCACCAAAACCCATGATTCTTTGAATGGAACTTGAATATGCCAAGTTAGCCTTTAGATGAAACAAAAGCAACATTGAATGAAAACGGCTATGATTCTAAGTGCTACTAGGTGGAAGAATTTCAAAAGCTTGCCAGCCAACACATTTTYCCATACAAACCCATATAGAATCTTTAATGTACTAGTAATATACCATTTCTCATATAACCAGAGTACATTATGAGCTGAAATATTGCCTTCTTACTTATATGCTCTTTYCATTTYTGTTGGTCATTACGAYGCAAATACTTGAATTGAGGGGATAGGGTCATTTGACCTTTTAGTGTAAGTCGTCCATTTACAAGGAATGAAAATGCCTAAAAAAATCCTGTGTGATACAGTTATTACTATCAAATTGAACTGATATCCTTGCAGTAWATGAAGCAACTTATGCAGCTGCAAATTGAAAGACTCAGAAAAAATTCTGAGTCTTGAACTGGATTTGAACCTGTGCCCTGGCAATTCTGGTGCCATTATGCTCTAACCACTGAGCTACCAAGTCTCATATGAGACTTCAAGGACACAATAGGTGGGTTTATTGGCCTGATAGGAGATATATATAAGTGTATGAGAATATATATGGAACATATATTTGTACTGCGGTTGAAATGTATCAAATTGAGCTGATCCTCACAGTATATGAAGCAATTTATGCAGCTGCAAATTGAAAGTTATTACTATTTATCAATTACCTTTTCTGGTTTCTGGGATCCAATCTTCTGGTTACGTAAATCAATAAATATAGTTCCTCTTTCTTCAGATCTTGAGGCTCTTCTCTGAAAATCCATACCCATGTCCATGCCGTAGCTTAGAGACCCAAAAGAAGTACTAACTCCAACAGAGGACATAGAACTGACAGCCATCATACCAGCATCACTATGTGTGCTGTCAGCTTGGACACCAAATTCCTTGGTTTTAGAGTCTTGTTGCTGTTGGATACCGACGTTTGTATCTGGTGACAGAGTGTTGTTGGTGCCGCTGAGTGTCGTGGAATTTGATGCTGTAACAGCCTCCTCTTGTTGTCTCTGGCTCAAATTAACAAGCTGTCTCATTAACTCATCACTGGCATCACTGTTGTCACTATCATCACTGTCATCAGAATCTGCGTCATTGTTATTAATATCATCAAGTTCCAGTGGATGTTCATATGACCAAGAAACTGTCACTTCATTCACACGTTTCATAAGGTCATCAAAGTCAATGTTWGCCAGATGTGAGAAGCTCAACCCAACTGAGTCTTGTGAATGATTACTAGAATCTCTATTGCTTGATACTGCATTTGTTCCATTTTCTGCTGTTTGAAAACTAGACTCAGTGGTAGAATTAGAATCGATGGTATTCTCGTCATCCTGATCTTCATCGCTTGCCTATATGATAATGAAATAGTTAGAAATTTCAATTTGATTCCGTARAAGAAAAACCATTCTCAAACCACTACTAAATTGTAATCTCAATTATCATATTTTTAAAACAAATATGAGAAATGTTTAGTATTTTTACCCTCAAAAAGCTCTTAATCAGGKGTCCTAATGGGATAGCAGCTGCTTTTCCCAATATCTCAGTAGATCAATCTTAATTAGCTCATAAAAATGTATGCATTGTTAGGGCAGATAATTTATATGTGGCTATGAAAACCTCGAATAATATACCTGCCATGATGTAACCATGGCAACCTCTATTAACAGGTCATCACACACCCCACAGAAATCTTACGAGGTATATACTGCTTTAGCATATACCAAATTGTGGACTTCCTAAGAACGTGAGCGTTCATTGGTTAATTGGAGGTGAATATTGTACGATATTCACCTCTGAATCTCGGAATATTGACCCGGCAACCAAATGGCATCTGCCGGCAATCATTTTGCTACAATTTCCGATGAGGAAATTGAAAAGATGAAAGTAAATGCCATTCCTATCAATACTAAAAAGGCAACAAATTATGGCCTAAAAGTTTTGCTTAAAGTTTTGCGTGAATTTGTCACGCAAACTAAAAGTTTCTGTTTGTTTGTTTTTATTGAATTATTGTATATAAAAATAACTTACTTTGTACATAAGTTGGTATATGCTAAAAAAATTATTCGCCTCAGGCTCAGTGAATATGGAGAATATTTACCTCACGTCTCGGTAAATATTCCCCGATATTCACTTCGCCTTCGGCAAATAATTGCTAAATATATATATATATATATATATATATTTCATGAATCAAACATTTTTGCTTTCTTTAAAGAATCACCTTGAATACATGGTTGTTAAAACTTCTATCAAGATCACCATGCAGAGACAGCCCACTATCAGTTGATGTTGAAGAGATCTTGGGTTCATCTTTTAGGCCAACTGAATCATCTAGCGGCAATGTTTCTTTCTGTAACTCCTTGTGAACTTCTGTAAAAGCTGAGGAAAGATCCTTTAAGGTAGAGAGAGAGGTCAGGTCACCACTTCTGTTGAAGATAACTGGTTCGTCATCACTGTCAACCTAAAAGTAGAATTTAATTAGCATAATTTAAGATTTGAGTATAGAGTTTTGCAAACCGTSTTTGGTCAAGTGATTCTGAGAACACAACACACTGTAGTTGTGAGACTTCCAATTTTTTAGAATCTGAATGGATAAACATAGTGTTTTCAAGTTATAGCTGGTTTTATAAGGATATTGTCAATATGCCATTTGCATCTGGAGGTAGGCGACCCTATGGCTAGACCCCCCTTGAACTGACTTAGACTTTATTTATTTCACATATGAATAATTAACAAGTTTACATTTTGATTAACAGAAAATCACTCTTAAAATTACAGGAGAAAGAAAAACAAATATGATGATGATAAATGTGAATTGTGTGCAGTGGTGGTCAAAGTAGTATTGTTATGAGCAGTCATGATAAAATTTATTGACTCAAGAAATAAAACAACACCTCTACCCATGAAACAATAGGTTGTCATTGCTTTGAATTAAACATGCCAGACCATTTCTTATTTAAATTTCTATTGTTTACTGTTAAAATTTGCAAGCCTATAGAAAAATGTAAATATAATGAAACAAATGATAACAAAATTCCCAATGTAAACATACGTTTAAAGGGGTTTATTTCAAAACATAATCATTATTTAGCAGTAAATGCAACGACATAATAATGAGATTTGTATCCTTATGTTGTCATAGTCGTTTATAATTTTATAGGGACAAAAATAACAAAATGACGCGAAGCAAAATATGCTGGAATATGTCTGAAAAACAAAAATAAGTGGAAAGTTACTTACTTCAGAGTCGCTGTCTGAGCCAATAATAGGAATATTAGCCTGCACTTCTGCAAAAATACTGTCCAAAGCGGGCTTGAGTCCTGCAACRGGACTTCTGTACAAGTCAGAGGGACAAGTTTCTTCTTCGTCGCTTTCGTCGCTGGAATACATATTGACAAAATTCAAGCAAAAAAAGAAGCACTAACTCATAGCTTAGTAGTGGAAAAATTGATAGGAGGTTTCAGAACGGGATTTTAGGGAGGAGAASTTGTTCATTTTCTTTCATTTGAAGGTCCTTTTGGGTTTTCTTCACAACAAATCTTCCTTGCATGACGCCATCTTGTTCACCATGGCAGCAAGTCCTCGTCCCAGACCTTTGAGCCGCTATCACATCACGTGACCGCAAGATTTTCTAATCTTTTATATAACAACTCACAGATAAACAAATAAAAATACTCAAAAAAAGCATTTCTATAACACTTAGCTATCGAACGTTACAAAAAATACCCCATGAATCTTGATTAAAAATTATAGAAAAAGGAAATTATACTTTATCTTATCCAGCTGCAATAATTTGGCTTTTGAAGCGCGCCTCAGAATATTTTGACGGAAAAAACCTCTTGACATAAAGGATATTCTTTTGGAGAAAAGTATTTTTGATTAGTTTTAATCCATTAAAAATTTAAATCCAGGTGTTTCTTACTGGGTCGTCTATGGTAACGTTTAATCACGTGACCAGAGTGAGTGATGTCAATGTATTATGATTGTATTCAGTAACGAAGGAGAGTGTTGTCTTGAAAATTGTCGGCGGTTTTTTCTTCGCTAACGAAAGGATTCCTTCTACTTTTGCGCTGGTTTTGACAGCAAACGGATTCTTTGTGAACTTCTGCGTTACATGGACACATTTTTGTTTTAATGGCGCCTGGCTAAGCTTCAGAAATACTCGTGGAAAGTCGGGAGTGCTAGTGTCAGTCTATCAAGTATCCTAAACTGTGGTTAAAATATGTCAATCTTAGAACATGGAATGCCTCACCAAACACCAAACTAATACCTCTRCCACTTCAAGTTATTATCTGTGTCGAGATTTCAAGGTCTTAACTAACGGGATATGGACTTGAAATATTTGAATCATTCTTAGTTCTTCTGAATTATGTCAACGAGAAGTATTTGTCGTTTGTGGGTCACGAAGCTTTGGGCTGCCCTGGCTACAGCAGTAGTTTTAATATTCTTGATATCGAGAACCAATGCTAAATGTGGCGGAAAAACTACAATAAAAGATCTAAATGGAACAATTTCTGATGGTCCAGGAAAGTATCCTGCAAATACGCGCTGTGAATGGCTGATAGAAGGTAAAATATTCTCTAATCTATTAAGACAAAATAACATTATACCGAAGATTCTAAGCTTATATTCGAACGATTCGAACTATTTTTCAACCTTTTATTATGTTTTTTTGTACATGAGGCGTAAAGTGGACCCATTAATCTATGCTGTCTTTTGGGACGATTTTATTTTGGGTTTTATATATATTATGGTTTTCACCGTCAGTCTTGCGCCGTTATTATAGATATGCTTAGATTTGTTTGTCCAGAAGCTATTTTTTTAACTTGTTAAAGCAGCTGGTGTTTGTATTATTTCCTTCATTAATATTTTCCACCAATAAATATGGTAGCATTTTTATTAAAAAATAAGAGGAATCCGTCAAAATAGTATAAAATTCTGTACTCGTTATGTTTGGACTTGTTATTCCGTATTTTGGCTTCCAAAAATTGCAAAGTCAATTAGAATACCCTAATATTGATTCTTGATATTGAATGTAAATAAAAATAATTATTATTACAATGATTTAATAATATATACTTTGATGTATTTTAAAATATTGAAATTAGTCAAAAAATTAATAGTTTGAAGAAAACTATACAAAATTTTAAGTTTACAAACGTATGAGTTGGAAGTAATAGTATTGTTTACTTCTCAGACGTGTGCTAACTTCATTAAATCTTAATCGTATAATTTAATCTGATTTTGTGTTATATTTTCTTGATTGATTAGTTGAAAAAATAGAATAGTAATGAAAGATCACATATATCATTAGTATTTGTGATCAAAGTTTTAAACCTTATCCATGAAATTAGCCTAAAATAAACAGAGATATTGGCTACCCAGAGTTTTTCATTGACGTATGTATGTCATGGTATGTGAACAAGGAAGGCATTTGAATAATTACTCACATTCACCGTAAAATAATATTCAAAGATTCATCGACTTCTTACTTGAAAAATTTGGAAGCATGCAGGTTAAATATCTATCTATATATATATTAGCCAAATTTCAATAAACAACAACAACAACAACAATAGTTTATTTGCACTCAAGGAGGAAATAATTACATGAAACATAAATTTAAAATTGCAAAAACATGAGCACAGCTACCTAAAATAGCTGAAAAGCTAATCAAGTTAGGCAGCTAGGAGGTCAGAAAGTTGCAGAATACTATGTTTTCAAAAAAGTAACAAGGATAAATAGCAAATTAAAAAAGCAGAAAAATACAAATTTCATACACAAAAAATACACAGAAAATATACGCAYGCACATATTTGCCAATTAGTCCATCCATAGAATACCAATACAGTAGTCAGTAAGAACAATAAGTATGGTGACGTCAAGACATTTGTTAGTTTGACAAAGGGAAAAATTCTATAGCATTAAGATATTATCTGGAGATTAAACTTTTACGATTTTTATACTGAAATTTTTGTACCAATAGTATACCAAATTAAGTCATAATTTTTATAAATGATTAATATATTCATCCTTTCCTCTCTATGCAGCTCCACGGCCGAACATGTCAATAACTCTAGTATTTGTGGAGTACTCCACCGAATGCTCCTTTGACTATTTATTTATCTATGATGGGCCATCATACCGGTCGCCACTGATTGGGAGTTTCAGTGGAGATTCGTCTCCAGGAGAAATAATTGCTACATCTGGAAAGGTAAGGAATATCATTGGTACCCTGATTGAGAAGCAACACAGGTATGGTCATATATGTGACTACATGCATTTATACCAAAGTATTAAAAATATACATTAATATATTTTTAATACTTTGGTATAAATGCATGTAGTCACATATATTTTGTGCATGGGTTCTTGTGCCAAAACAAGTAATATACCACATGTTTCTTGCATATCATTTTTTTTGGGGGGGGAGGGTGGCTGTACCCCATCCAGGATTTTCATTTTAAAAGGGGTGGACCCTTTGCTTACAAACTCAAATACCAATGATACAGTAAATATCAGCTTATCTAGGGGAGTGTGCTCCCTCTGCAGCACTCCCCTTAGTTAGATCTGCCCCTGCATCCTGATCCTGCACACCAAATGCCTGAAGTCTCATGTGTATATTTAAAATACAAGCGCCTTCTGGGATGATGTTCTAGGGTACATAATGAGACACTCAAAACCTGGCATTGTATAGCTAGTATATGTACAGTACATTAATGCTTAGTCATTGAGTGAACATCTAAATGACATGATTATATATGTGCAGTATGCCCTTGGTACAGTAGTTGTCCCTGAGGAAAAACTCTACTGTTGTGCCTCATATATCATACCTGCCATCACGTGATGGTACATAGGTACTATTGTCCACCAATATTTATAAACCATTTTTTATGGTAAATTTTTTATCTTCACAGATGTTAATCAATCTTTATAGTGATACCAATTATGTACTAGAAGGTTTTACAGCAAATTATACCATCGAGGACTGTCCCAAGGATTGCTCAGGCCATGGGTCTTGCTCCAATGGGAAGTGCATATGCAGTGGCACCTGGCACGGCAAAGCATGTGACCTGCATTGGTGTCCAGACATCTGTAATATGGATACTAATGGGATTTGTGATACAGTAAGTAATGTTTCCAAAATATGCCTGTATTTGTCCATCTAACTATTTTTATGCAGTATATCTACCAAAGAAGGTGATCAGAATTTCTCACAGATTTCGGGGTTATTGGTTGGGAAGGATAAGATTGAGAGGAATGGCTAATGAAGTTAAGGAGTAAAATTACGCTGTAGACACATGTACATATTTGTGTCGTCATAAAGGGAGTCTGATAAAGGGAGGCAGCATGGTCGAGTGGTCATAGTGTTGGTCTTGCAATCCGGTAGTGCCGAGTTCGAGTCCCGCTGTGGACACTAGCTGAGACTGTATTTGTCCTGATCCCTGATTAGTTCAGATTCAGTTTCTAGACCATGCTTGTAAATAGCCAACTGGTTTGCTTACTTGTCAGTTGGGATTCTTAACACAATTTATGTTTCTTTGATCATTTCATTTCAGTTTATTAATTGTAGGAGGGCCATAATGGAAACTACTGGGTTACCAGTAATGTATGTCACCCTCGTTAAATAAAGTCAATTTATTATTTTTTTTCCCAAGTCTACTTAACTAGGATAAGTATTTTTATTATGTAGATGAACAAAAGGACCTTAATTTCCTTTCCAGGTCAACCATCATTGCGTCTGCAATCCAGGCTATGCAGGAGAGTCTTGTTTTCTTTCTCTAGATTCCAATAATGGTGCTAATTCATGGTACAAAATGGTAACCTACTTGGCTCAATTTACACCTCGTCTAGGCCATGCCGCAGTATACTATAAACCCACTGATGATATTTGGTCATTTGGAGGTTTGTTCTTGTGCATTCTGTAATACTAGTAATAATAATCAATTATAAATGTCAGTGTCAGAAAATAATGATCATCATCATCATCATCATCATTTATGTTCAGTATCATCAACTGTCATTTATCAATACTATATTATGATCATATTATGATCATTTTCATCATCCATTACCATCAATCATCATGATCAATATTTTTATCACTCTTATTTTCATTTATTTATCATCATCATTTTTTATCATCATCATTATTTTGTTATCTTCATTATTATCACCATTTTGGTGTCCTCACATCATCTTTTTTCTTCTATTTATTCCAGGTTATGATTTAAATTCTGCAAATAATAATTTATTGAAATTTAATTTGACAACTGCTCAGTGGACCAAAGTAACGACTCCCCAACCACACCCAGTAAGTATCAATCTTGTACACCTATGTCAATCAAGGGTTGATGTAGTGTTACACCAAAGGAGTGAGATGAAAGGAACAACAAGTTAGATGATCAATAGTTGTGACAGAATGTCAGTTATTTTTGCCAGTCAATAAGAGTAGAAAGTAACTGGGTCTAATTTTGAAAAACCAATTTGAAAAGATTCCAGATTTCATATGAGAGAGCAACATACATGTGCAACAAGTTACTGACCATTAGAGCAGGTGCATGTTAGGGCATTGCTGCCATGTTTGTTGACGATAACAAAGCATTCCTAATTAGCTTCTCTTGTTAGATCAAGCAAGATGGCGGCTGTTTTATTGTTATTCATATCTCAAGGGATTTTGAGTCACATTGTTACACACACTCTATACTTTATAGAAAAATTGTTGTGAGCATTAAAACAATACCAAAATTACAAAGAAATGTATTGTGAAATAACCAGGCAGAGAACCAAGAAATTATTTTTTTATACTGATCACCATTGACATCTCTTATTAATCAAATGGTAATGTATTCTGCTTGACAGGCTGGACGTTACTCACATACAGCCACTTTATACTACGATAGTATGATAATATTCGGAGGACAGTTTGATGATGAACATCTGACCAATGAGTTATGGAAGCTGAACCTAACTACACTGACCTGGACTCAACTGTCACCTAATGAYTCTAATGCTCCTCCCCCTGTCACTCAACACACAGCGAACCTGGTTGATGACAAGCTATACATCTATGGAGGTGAGAGATATTTTCCTAAATATTCAAAAGGTTTAGTAATATCAATGGAATTGAGGGTTGTATTTTCAGTATTGGACTTGCTTATCTGACCTAGCATGCTTAAAAATAATGGCGGCTCAATGGCTGGACCTGACGACTGCCTTCTGAAACTCATCAACATGTGACCCGTCAATGTGATGTCTAGTTTGAGGACTACTAGAAAAGCGCTACTTTGGCTGGACATTGTCTGTTGACCTGCCATTTTGTTAAGCTCTGCCTAGAGACATTGAAAGTATCGCAATAATATCGTAAATGTTCTCTATGATGTACTCTTAAGTTATAGGATAAATTTTGCTTCCTTTTTTACAGGTCAAACAACCAATGAGACCTTTTCCTCAGCCATGTACAGATATGACTTGAGCAAAGCAAACACTGGATGGATGGAAGTGAAATACAAAAGTGGGAAAAACCTTGCATTACGAGTGTTAGGGCATTCTTCTGTCTACTACGAGGACATACGGTCACTCATTGTCTTTGGTGGATTTTACTCGGCATCATCAAGGTGAGTAGAAGAATTACAATGATCTGGGGTGCTTACCATTTAAACCAATACATCCCGTCAGAAATTTGTTTGCTAAGGGTAACTAATTAACTTCTGATAAATTGTACACTCAGCCGTATGTGTCACACAGGCATAGAAGATATTGATGATGATAAAATCGTACACACTTCCACCAGAAGTACAAAAAAGTGCTGGAAAAGTGGAATACCTCAATAATTGGAAGGCCGAAGTTTTCTGGAACTTTCTGATCAGAATGATAGTAAAATATTATTGGTTTTCCCAACCACAATTTTCTGGTTTTTCTGGGTACATGGTAAGCACCCCATGTAATAGTCAGTGCATCAATAACTAACCTTAAAGATGTAAATATTTGTTTGGCTCCTGGTGGGACTCAAACCTGTTTGCCTGCCAATATTTAACTATATCATGTTCTTTTGACTCCATCAGAGAAAGTGTCAGGAAGAACATGCTACATGTATTTCATGTTGACGGCCTAGTGTGGACAGAGTGGATGACGGCAGGGGACTCTAATAAACCTAAACCACGTGCCTTTCACTCTGCCACAGTTGTAGGGGACTACATGGTTGTTTTTGGTACGTAGCTATTTTTAGATCCAAGCATTATTGAGAATAATGCATGGTGTTTTATGGGGGAGAGCGTGCATTATCGCACCTGACCAAAAACGCCTTGAATTATTTATCACATTATCATCGTCATCACCTGCTCTCCTGATAAACATTGTCATCGTCACTAGCAAAGTATCTTCATCATGATTTTTATCCTCATCACTATCATTATTATTAACACTATTCATCATCATCACCATCATCGCAATCAACAATACCGTAATCTAACAGCATTCATCAGTACCATCATCATCACTATCAACAATAAGCATCATAAAAACAATAATTATTATCATTATCATTAACATTGTCAGCATCATTAATACCATCTGCGGTCTACCGTCATTACCACCACCATCATCATAATGTCAACTAGCTATAAAATCATCACTTCATCATCATAATCATCATCATCACATCATCATTATTATCAACTCTGCCGTCATCATCTCTCACTAATTACCTTTTCCTTCAGGTTGTTATTTTCAATGTGAATTAGTAAATTGCTATATTATGCTAATTATTTTTTGTTTAAACTTCAGGGGGTAACAGACACGAGCATAAAAATGATGAAACTTGTTATGACAATGATGTTCATTTCTTCAATCTCAAGTGTCGGAAGTGGACCTCAAACTCAGTCTTCAATGCCCTTTCAACAGCATCACCTCAATCAACAAAACCTCGGCGAGGTAGATTCTCTCATGTAGCCCTCTTACGAGAGTCTGTGCTCCTTATCTTTGGAGGTTACAGTGGAGAACCTTTGGGTACTATGTATGCATACAAGCTTCCTGAAGCCGTAACAGTGGAGAATAGAACAGGGATGGCAGTGATTGCTGGACATTGCAGTAGGTACTTAACATCAGAGACATGTGTTCCTGATCCTGCTTGTGGCTGGTGCGGAAGTGAAGAAAAATGCTTTGCAGCTCAAATGTCCAGTCAGTGTTCTTCTGGATGGCAAATGGACAACTGTCCAGGGCCTTGTGGAGTGTACAGTCAGTGTACATCTTGCTTGACGTGGGGCTCAAGACATACGCCCAACTGTGGATGGTGTGTCCAAGACAGTCGTTGCTACCCAGTGACATCACCAATGAATGCATGCAAGGCACCCACATCAAGTAATATGAACGAGCTAAAAGGCTGGTGGGGTACTAGTGGACAATTTTTGACTGGATCAGTAGATCAGTGCCGATCAAGTGATTATCCACCTGGGATGATAGTTATTTCGCATACCACACCTCCAAATACTAGCCACCCTGATGAAGTTACCATGGTGTCGACATCTAAGGATGTTATTACTTACGATGTGCTACTCTGGAACAAAATTCTCAAGAAAACCCTGGTTGGTTTTGTTTATCCTTTCAAGTACAGAACCTCCCCATGGCCTACCTTCTTTCTAAGAGCAAGAACAAGCAATTCTTTGCGCATGAGTAACACTTTGTATCTAAGCAAAGATGCTAGCAAAAGCAACTCGGTAAGGAATCATTGATTGTTTCATACCCTAAAATGATTATTACTACTAATAAATAATATCAATTCTAATAAATAATCCTAATTAATTACTCATTTACTATTAAATTAATTAATATATTAATTAATCAATTAATAAATCAATTTTAATTAATATGTCTTAATAATTGTTATTGTAAGATAACTGTTGTAAATCTCGCATTCTTATTAGTTGGGAGCGTGTGCTTTATGAGAGCACATAGCACACATGCGGCCTTAGCATTTTATAAAAGAAATAATGTGTGGAGTTATAAAGCACTTGGGGATTGGCAAAACGCTCGAAAAGTGTYGAGAAGCACTACACGTATGTGTCGTGCTTTTCCAAACACTTCTCTCGTGTTCTATCTATCCCTATGTGCTTTATGACAGCACACAGCACGGGCACCCAATGATGAGGATGACATTGGTGATAGCAAAATTTGATGCTGATAATGATGCAATGATGCTGGTGGTGATGATGATGATGATGATAATGGTGCTGGTGGCAATGATGGCGGCGATAAGAATGATAATGGTGCTGGTGCTGGCAATGATGATAACGGTCATTATGGTAATGACTATTGGGAATAATATTATCTGCTGATGTGATTATGGTGACTGAATATATATCAATATTTACACAATATTGTTCTTCTTGAATATTTCCCCTGCAGATGGAAGTTGCTCACTGTCCCTATGGAAACATACAAAGCTCATGTTCAGCAAAAGCATTCCGCCCCAACCAAGATCTCTTTCCCAACCCAGGACAGGATAAGAAGTACTATACGAAAATGGAAGTAGTCCTTCGAATAGCCAACTCTTATCATGGTCCAGTTGATTTTGAAGCTTCCTGGAATGGCAGTGGAAATGCAATGTTTCTTTTGGTATGTACAGTACTAGTTTGAAAGGTCTGAAGCAAAATTAAAAACCAAATTAGTTTTCTTATAGACCCCTTGCATTGGTTTCCTAGAGGAATTGTTCTGGGGGACGAAACAATAGGCCAGCTTTTCTTAATCAAAAAAGAAAAGAAAAGAAAGAAAGAAAGAAAGAAAAATCCATTGTTTTCTCCCCCAGAACAATTCCTCTCGGGACTCAGTGCAAGGGGTCTATAAGATAAATATTATTTTTTTGCAGCCTATATCAGGTCACTTTCTACAGCCTTATACCTCAGGAGGTAGTGAATGTGCAAGTTTAACAAACTGTATGCTCTGTATGACTGACACAAGCTGTGGATGGTGTCCTCTTACTAACAAGTGTGAGTCCCGCTCTTCGTCCACTGTCTGTCAAGATGCAGCAGGACATGTTCGACACCTTGTCCTTAATGCTACTGACTGCTTTAGATGTTCAGAATTTGTTGACTGTGTGTCCTGTGCGCAGGTAGGGCTAAATTGATAATTCTTCTTTTCTTCTCGTTCCCCTTTTTGTATTTTTTACTGCCTATTCCCATTTTTTGCCATTACTTGTTTATTTTATCTCTTTCTCGTAAGATCCCATTTTTTCATTTTTTCATTTTTCATGTTCTTCCCACCCCCCCCAATTTTCGTGCTTTTTGAATTTCATCTTATAATTTTTCTTTAATTCTTTTCTCTCATTTCTTTCATTTTCTCACTTAATTAATTTAATTCATATCCAACTGATCCATATATTTTTAATTTCCGCTTGATAATTTKTTACTTTTCAATACTGAAATTTGCCTTTTGTCCCTCTTTTCCTATTTTCTAGCAAAGTCTATGTGAATGGGTGCCAATAGATAACATTTGCTTTCGGCAAGGCAGAGCATCTTCAGCCCTCATCCGGGATCCAGCATCTTGCAACCTGCCATGTCACCAGTATGTATACATTTTAAACCCATTTTATCACTAAGTTCAGATTTTTTTAGGAATAATCCCCTTAGCAGTTCGCTGTGCCATCTTGAAAGGTAGCTGTGCTTTTGCATCGAAACGAGATGAACGGTTAGCTTGCAATGATAGAGACGTGAATAATTGTCCAAGGTGTTAAAGATGGTTTGGTATGTAACAGGGCTTGGTGAGATCATGCAACATAACCTTCACCAATTTTTTTTTGAAGTAGTGGCAGTGTTATAACCAATCTAGCCTTGAGCAACTCAATTTTTACTCCATTTTTATATTTTCATTGTTTTGCTTCATTGCAGACGTGCAAGTTGTTCTTCATGTGTAAGTGATAAATTAGGCTGTGCTTGGTGCGAGAAAACCTCATCCTGTTTTTTGTTCGGTACCTATGTTGCGCAGTACCCATATGGTCAGTGTACCTACTGGGTCGATAGGTAAGATTTATCAAACAGCAGTAGTCCTTGTTTAATATATTGTATATAGACTCCAAATCTTGTCCCTACTATGCAACCTGGGTCCCAGTAGTGGAGCTTTGCTCTGTGGTGTTTCCCTGCCCTTGGCGAAGCTTATAAAATTAAAATAAAATAAAACCTCTAGACCCACCCTTGAAGATTTTCCTCCAGGTTCACTGGTTTTTCTCTGTCCRCAAAAAAAATCTTCTAAATTCCAGTTCGACCATGGAGTGAGAGCCACAGGTTTGCTACTCTAGTAAATCAAGGACAAAACAGACCATTTTTTAAAAAACCATAAACCCTCCTGAGCTCTTGACATGAATTCCTATATTYGTGCTGGCTTAAATCCACACTCATACTCATTCATTACATTTTGTCTTTGTTTTACAGCAAAACCAGTAACCAATGCARGAACTGCACCATGCATACAACCTGTAAAACCTGCTTGGCTGACATACAGTGTGGATGGTGTGGAAGTACTGACAACCCACTGATAGGCAGGTAAGTTGGTATTCATAGGGTTATAGCATGGCTCTGGGTTCAAGAGTGAATCTGTATCAGTCACAGTGCGAGAGATCACTAGTGATCCAATCAGAATGCTTGAACTTGGCACTGTTGCAGTCATGATACAGAAATGAAAATAATCTTTGAGCCAATCACAGCACACAATTTCACTAGTGATCCAATCAGAATGCTTGGATTTGGCACTGTTGCAGTCATGGTACAGAAACGAAAATAATCTTTAAGCCAATCACAGCACACAATTTCACTAGTGATCCAATCAGAATGCTTGAACACTGTCACAGTCATGGTACAGAAATGAAAATATCCTTTGAGCCAATCACAGCACACAATTTCACTAGTGATCCAATCAGAATGCTTGGACTTGGCACTGTCACATTCATGGTACAGAAATGAAAATAATCTTTAAGCCAATCACAGCACACAATTTCACTAGTGATCCAATCGGAATATTTGGACTCAGCTCCGCCACTGTCATGGTACTGCACGTACACACACGAGTGGTGTAAACTCATTCATAACCATGCTTTATTTTTGATCTGTGCTGGGTTTATCCCAGGATGGCAATAATCTTAACTGATCTCACTTTTTTAGTTGTTTTGGAGGAGACTTTGATGGACCAAATAATGGCCAATGTTCAAGCCTTGTGAATATCAACGGCAGGTAAGCCATCTGTTTGGATTGTACTCACACACTGAATCAACATACTCATCTGTCTCATTGCCATGAATAGTGAATAATTTACTAATATCAGAAGGGTGTAAAAGAACCACTGAGGAGGTAAAGAAACCCTGGCAGTGACCACCCTCAGTGCCTACACCTCATACTAACCACCTCTCATTCATAACTCATTGTAAAGCGCCTTTGAACATATTCATATGGAAGAGAGCACTATATAAAAGCATAAATCATCAAATGATAGATCATCATGATTGTAGTATTTGTAAGGTAATATGTAGACTTGAATATACCCAATCCATTTGGTATTTTCCCAAAGTTTCAGACCATTTACAGCTATCTAACGACAGCCCTTTAATTGCCGTAAATTATTTAAAGTAATAGTATTTATATCAGGAATATGAAGAATTGAATGAATAGAATAGACCTAGTCCATTTTATAATTTTCTTTTGCAATTCAAGATCCATATGACATACCCTTGAATACTATGTTTTTGATTTAGTTTTATCTAGCATTACTGGTAAAGAAAGGAATAATATTAAAGGGAGTGGCACGAGATTAAAAACTAAGCAAAAAAGCAAAAAACAGTATAAATACATTTGATTTATCGTTCTGGGCCCAGTTGTACAAAGGTGGATAGCGCTATCCAAAAGATAAATCCTTATCCAGTGGATAAGTCGATGCTGTTATCCAATAAATTTATCGACTGAATAAGATTTATCCATCGGATAGCGCTACCCACCCTTGGTACAACCGGGCCCTGTTGTTCAATGTGTATGTAATCATGCGAATATCTTACTCTTCTTTCTGTAGCGTTGATTGGTCGTACTCCATGTGCCCGGATGTGGACGAGTGTAGACTGGGACTACATGACTGCCATCATAATGCTACGTGTCATAACGTGTATGATTCGTTTAACTGCGTGTGTAATCGTGGATTTACTGGGGATGGCAAGATTGCGTGTAACAAAACGTATGTACTTAGCCGATTAGGTCTATTATGATGATGATTGTTGTGGTGGCTGATGATGACGATGGTTGTAGTGAGGGATGAAGATAGTGGTGAGGGGTGGTGGTGATGATAGTGGTGGGGGTYGATAATGATGATCTTGACGATGATGATGAATAGTAATTGAAGTTGAAGATAAAGCTAATAATGATTCTAGTACTGCTAGCTGGTTGCCCGTCATCTGGTGCCCCACCAATAATATTATTTATTTTACTTCTAGTTGCTATAATCCTTGCATCCACGGAATATGTGGATCTGATTACACATGTCATTGTGATCTCGGATGGCTTGGAGAGAACTGTACCATTGATTGTGGTTGTAACGGACACAGTTCTTGTAACCAGGATATAGGCATATGTGACAAGTGTCAAGGTAAGCCAAAATTACGGATATCCTTTATGCAAGTACATGGTATGGGATTGTGGGTGAGATATCTGTGTTCTTATTGTGTGTGTGTGCGTTGGGGGGGGGGGGGGGTTTCTGGTCTTAACGAACTTGAATCCGATTCAAGTTTAAAGGGGGAGGGGCAAAAAAAAACAAAAACAGATAGACAACAAAAAAGGGGCCATCGTTTTATGCAACAACAAATGGGTGGGGGGTTCAGATTTCTCAAAATTAAAAACGATATTCTTCCTAGCATATTATTTTTAGAAAATTATATCTACATAAACTTCTGTTACATCATTTGCATAGGGAATACACGTCCTCAGGTAGAATTCGTTATTGAATAGGTAGACTTGTACGAGTGACGTCTTGAAAGTTCTTGTAATTGCACGAGCCTTTACAGGAGGCTTTCCTATTTTCCTACCTATTGTTACAGTTATTCGGCACAAGAGCGTTAAAGATTGAATGAATTTACCGCGGTTTTCGATATCCTGCAAAAGTTCGGTTGCTCGTTGACGTCGAAAATAATCAGTCGGTGCCTTTTATGTCTTTATGTTCTTGCAAAAATTCCGTTACATAACATAGCGTATATAACGGAATTTAAGCGAGTAATAAGTTGCATAAATTCCGTTATATAGTATTTAGTATAATAACGGAATTTAAACTAGTATTTAGTTACATTACATATCGTATATAACGGAGCTTGTGCAAGTACTTAGTTGCGCATGAATTCCGTTACATAGAATTATGTATATAACGGAATTTAAACGAGTAGTTAGTTGCATAAATTTCGTTATATAATAGTTATCAACATACATGAGCAATTGTTTGCTTAAAATATTCTGTTATATAGAAGCGACGTATTGCACAATATGCGAATATAAAGCCCTCCCATGGTACGGCATGTTGTAACATTGAAATGGCTTGCTATCTTTACCCTTAATGCAGGTACATGGTACGGCATGTTGTAACATTGAAATGGCTTGCTATCTTTACCCTTAATGCAGGTACAGGGCATGGCACGTTGTGACATTCAAATGGTTTCCCATTCTTTATCCTTTATGCAAGTACATAGAATGACACGTTGTAACATTAGAATGGCTTCCCATTCTTTACCCTTTATGCAAGTACATAGAATGACACGTTATAACATTAGAATGGCTTCCTATTCTTTACCCTTTACACAATTACATGGTTGACACATTGTATTATTGAAATGGCTTCCCAGTCTTTCTGAATCATCCAGTCACCATGGGGAGATACGCAAAAATACAAAATGCCAACAGGGCGACTGCAAATTAGACGTTTTTGTCCTATGAAATCTGAACTGCAACCTCCATTATTTCTTGAAGAACTGTTAGTTTATATAATAAGACTTCTAAGAGGCTTATGAGTAAATTCCACTTTTTAATTTCATAACGCCATCTTTTTAGACTACACCCATGGTAACCATTGTGAACTATGCGTGAGGGGCTCATATGGTAACGCAACGACTCCACATGGGTGTAAGAAGTGCAGTTGTAATGGTCACGGAGATGTCATGCAAGGAGATTGTAACATGACCACAGGAGTGTGCTTCTGTAAGGACAACACTATGGGTGAACACTGTGATAAATGTTTGCCTGGGTTAAAAGGAGATCCAAGGTGTGTATATATCATGCCTTTCAGTACAACAAATTAATTGATTATGGAATGACCTGAAGGTGTCACGCAATTTTTATATCTTCGTTTGTCATTTGCAGGAATGGTGGAAGGTGTTACCATGAATGCACTGGCCGAAGTGTCCTAACCAATGTCACGGAAGGTGATATCTCCACATTCGTAGGTGAAGGTGTGACAGACCGCAGTAAGGCAAGCTGTATCTGGGTAATATCCTCATCCAAGAACACGAGCCATAACGTAATCTATGAGTCACAACCAGTGCATGACAGATCCTCAATCACTCTTGACTTCCTCAATATGAGTCTTGATTGTCTGACCAACCATGTCGACATTTATGATGGGCTACCAACCTTTATTCTAGACTCCCGCTTGCCACACCCACCAGTGTTTTACAAGCTGGGCTCTTTCTGCGGATCTAAGGAATCTACGTACAAGATCAAAGCAACTCTAGGCAACATGGTGGTGATGTTCCAAGGAGATATCTCGCAAGGACAACCCTCGAATGGTTTTGGTGCTGTCTTCGCTGTCCATAGGTGTACAGACAGTTGCTATGGTAATCGGCAGTGTGTGATGACAGGCGCAGGGGAGTCGTGTGTCTGCAGAGATAGATGGGTGGGTCCTGATTGTACTCATCAAGTCTGCCCAAGTAACTGTAGCTCATCATTGGGACGAGGAGTTTGCAACACGGTACGTCGAACCTCGTAGTGCATTTATGCGCATTATACTTTATCATTGTTTGTTTCTGTCCTTTTCAAATTATTTTCATATTATCAGCAATTCAACTCGAAATCCTAATTAAATGAAGAAAAAAAGGCAACGAAAATTTTTATCTTCTAAAAAGAAAGAATTTTTTTAACTTTTGAACAGCAAAGGAACCCTTAATTTTGATGTAATGTTTTACCCATCTCAGCCCACGTGTCATTCTCTTGAAAATAAGATTCTTTGTTTGAGTGGTATCCATATTCATCTGTCTTCTCATGCATAACCGTTAACTAAATTTAATTTTCTAAATCGTTAAACGAATTTTTGAAAAATTTCATGCATCTTTTTCAGGCGACTGCGCAGTGTGAGTGCACCGGTGGCTTCACTGGGCTTGACTGCAGTACCATCGTACCTCCTGGCAAAGGATCCTGGGAAACTCTCTACAACAATCTATTTCCAAACAGTAGTTACAGTGATTTAGCTCGAATGGCCAATACCATGGTAATTCATTCAAATAACCTGTGGATCTATGGCGGGTTTTCGTTATCTATGGGGATACTAAGTGACGTCATGAAATATGATGTCATCGGCAAGACGTGGACTCACGTGACAACTAACCAGTTCCCTGTTCTCCTACCGTCGGCCAGATATTTTCATTGTGCTGTAATTTACCAGGTATGTTTGGAAATACATTACTTTGGCATCGTGTCGGTGTCCACTGGTAGAACGAAGCTTGGGATTGGACAAAATAACAAAAACAAAGAAAGCATGGATTATGGTGAACAATGTGTATTGTTCTACATGTGAGCTGCGTTCTTTGTTTTATCTCACCATTCATTATTTGTTCATCCACTCCCAGGCGTCGTTCTGCCGGTCGTGGATTACCCAGCTCATGCACATTAGCTATACTATCATGAATTTTATATGCAAGCTAGCCATGCCCTAACTTTGATAAGCAAAGAGGCAGTTCAAGGATATCAATGAAACTTGAAGGTTTAATGTAAAGTACATTACTAAGCACTGAAACTTACTTTTAAGAATGCAGCTTTGTAATAATCTCTTGCAGAATCTGGCAAAATCCATCCTGTAGCTCTGTTCTCCTTCACTTCTAGAAGTCTTAATCTGGTGTATTCAGAGATGACGTTCGCTGAGAATAGCATGGTTGTAATCTTATTGAATGTTCGCTCCATATTGACTGGGCACTTTATCTCAAGGACCTTGCCTACTGTGTGGAAGACATCACAAATGGCATCTGACACTAATTCGTTGTCCCAAACTTCACGCTTCTGTGGCACAAAGTAAGGCCAGAATGCCTTGGCAATATCTACAAGGAAGCTTTCAACTCCTTCTCGGTGTTCTTCAGGTAGGGTTTCAAGCCGGTACAAATTGGAAAGTAAGGTAACAATATGGATATCGTTGACCTCTGGCTTTCCAAGACATGTCAAAATATTCAAAAGATCATTACAGCTCTTTTCAAGCAGTACTGTCAAGCCTGTTGTAGATTCATCATCATGATCTTGAGCAATATTGTGGAAAATCTCAGCAATTATAGGAGTTCTGTTTCTGTCTTTCCAGGCAGTGTCCAGGAATAGTTGCAGACATGTAATGGTAGTTAGAGTCCCTTCATTTAATGATGACAATATTTCTTTCTCTATGGCGTCTCCTGCTGTTTTAAAGCAATCCTCATCCAAGAGGAGGATCTTGCTCTCAAATCCACGAACCAGTTCTTCAGAGAAGTTGGCTCTGTTTGATGTTTTACTGATAGGCGCTGAAGGTTTTCTTAATGGCTTATAGGCACAAGATCTTCTAATCTGAATCTCGCTGGATAAAACCATGATTGTCAGCACCTAAGCAATCAGAAAACAATATGCATAAAATTCCAGGAAACCAATTCCAGGAATGAGAGTTTGTCCATTGTAATGAAAAAGACCATTTTTTAAATTCCAGAGGTTTTGTAGGAATTCCTGGAATAGTATGGACCTTTGAAACCAAAGTTATTGAAGGGTAAAGTCAAACAAAATCAGCTGCAAGTCTCATACTACTTGAAAACCTTTCTTTTGTCTCACATCAGGTTACATACTTACACATTAATTACAGAATCGCTTTAATCTTGCAGGGAGCGCAATTTTCGTAGCCTGCGTCAGATCCGGAATTTTCTTCGTAAATTTCGTGTTTACAAGATCTAGATCACAGAGGCATGGTTCAACACATGGCTCAATATGTCTAAAAGATTCTGCCAAAAATTGTTGAAAATCAACTAAGAAAATAGTCAATCTTCCCACGGAGAATCATTCGTGCTAACCGTTTTTAGTTAAGAATTATTTTTCTTGAAAAACCCATTGTTATATTGCAAAAGTAAGCTTATAAACTTGACATATTTCTAATCTATTAGCAACAGTGGCTTCATTCATTTTGCGACACTATTGTTTACCTTATATTTTTCATTATTTTTACTTTTGTAATTACGATAAACCCACCATAATAGACGGCAATTTCAAGAAGAAGCGTTCTTTGTCGGTATCTTATGTATTTTAAAGGAATAATTTTAAGTTTAGCATAATCGAGACAGTCAAACTCACACCTCTTAATTTTAAGTCGGAGATTTGCGGATAGGCTACATGAAATTAGGATCAAAGTGAACTAGAAAACCGTATATATTCTATATTCTATTCATTGATATTATCAAAATGAACACTTAACTAGAAGAATACGAAGTAATCTCGGAATTTTAAAGACAATAGCGGCCTTTATAAGCTTAAAGTGCGCAATCTTAATACAACAACACGAAGTCACCGCGGTGTCTACAGCAAACATCTTCGTCTTTTTTAGCATTAGAACCGAAAAGCGCACACATTCTTGAATCAAAAATACTATACCTAACAAGAACACAACTGAATTGACCAAACTTACCTTGATTTTGGTAGTATTTACTAGTATTTAAGCTTTCAAATGTGAATTCACTCTAGAGCGACAAGAGCTGGTTCAGTCACATGGACCACAAAGATTCCCGCGACTCCCTTGACTCATGGGTCATTGCACGCTCTACAGGTGTGAAAATACTCACAACACAGGAACCCCACATTATATTATTCGTGCGCCAAATAAAATTGGTGAAAAATCGAACTTCAAGGGTTTAGATCCTTTATTTATACCCTATAACGCAATTCAGAGGGTCAAAAAGAGGAATGTCCCAAAGAAAGAGAGGAATTGAAGGACAAGAATTGATTCATCTGACAACGCTTATTACCGTTTACGTGCTATCAAGAATCCTTAGCTGATCCTTGAATCCAACGTGTTTCAGGCCCCAAAAACGACGCACCTCGTTTTATCACTGAAACGCTTTGTGTTATGTACCCATAGCTTCAAATCTAGTTTGCTTCATTAAAAAAATATTTACAATTTTATACCAAATCAATTAGAAACCCTATGTATCTGATACAACCATCAAGACTGACTATATTTGCATTGTTTGCGGCATGTATAAGCTTAGCCTATATATTGTTAAAGTGCCTATCACCCTTTTGATAATATTCACAGTATTCTACATTCTACATGGGGTAAGATGTGGAATAAACCGAAAATATTTCATAGTTTGAGTGCAGCTTCTTGAAGTTATNCTGAAACAACCTCTGGGCTGATCTAGGTCAGGGCATGGTTAACTCACAGATTGAACCCTGAAACAACCTCTGGGCTGATCTAAGTCAGGGCATGGCTAACTCACAGATAAAACCCTGAAACAACCTCTGGGCTGATCTAAGTCAGGGCATGGCTAACTTACAGATTGAACCCTGAAACAACCTCTGGGTTGATCTAAATCAGGGCATGGCTAACTCATCACAGATCAAATTGAAATTGAGCATGTTAGGAGGGAGAAAAACCAGAGAACCCAGAGAAAAAGCCTCGAATTGTTTACTCTGACATCATTATAATATAGGTGAATAAGTTGTTTAATGGCTGTTATATTGTAATACAGGTTTGTATGGCCACAGTACCGTGTATCACGCAGCTACTCAGTCTCTATTGATATTTGGAGGGTATCAATTCAAAACACATGAAGTACAGCCCTCGAGTGAACTGTATTCCTTACACCTACCAAGCAGAACATGGAACATCCTAGAACCATCACCCAACAATAAGGTATACATACTAGTGGGTGGTGATGATGATAAAATGGATGAGAATGATAGTGATGGTAATGTGATGATGATGAAGATTATAATGATGGAGGTGGGAATGTTGCTAGTGATGATGATGCTGATGATGAAATGATGATGATGATAGAATGATTATGGTGGTGATGAAGATAGTGATGATGGTGATGGAATGATGATGGTGATGGTGAAGATGGTGATGATGGTGATGGAGTGTTGATGGTGATGGAATGGTGATGGTAATGTTGCTAGTGATGATGGTGATGGAAKGATGTTCATGGTGGTGGTGATTGGATGATGATGGTGATGTTGGTGCTCATGATGATGATGGTAATGATAGGATGATGATAACGATTATTATGTTAGTGATGGTATTGCTGGTAATGATAATATGATGATATTGAAATTTTGATGATGGTGATGATGATGATGGTATAAATATATGATGATGATGATAATGTTGGTTGTGGTAGAGAATGGTCCTGGGTGAGTGTTAATGATATAAATCGTGACAAGAGTGATGATATCGGTGGCGTGGCTATCATGATGATAGTAAAAGTCATGATGATAATAAAGTTTTTTGTTTTTCTCCAGCCGTCACCCAGGTTCTTTCACGCTGCCACCATAATAGATGACGTAATGGTTATTTACGGAGGGCGCAGCACCGCTGACCATTTCTCTTCCGAATTGTTGGCTTATCGAATTAACTGCAACAGCTGGCGTATGTCTATTGATTCAAGTGAGTAGAAAAGAAAAAATTAAATAAAATAATACAAATTAGATTTCCTTCCCGTTTCTTAATTTCCATTCCACTTTTAAATAGATTCCAATATGGTGGGTGTTTCTCCTGGTGGCTTGATCGGCGCCTCTGCATACTCAAACATCACCAAGACGTACATTTTCGGAGGTTTTGATGGCCAGGTCCAAAGCTCTTTATACAGGCTTGCGTTACCAGTAGATATGTGCACGGGAATGCGTGACAAGCTTACATGCACCTCGGCACCTGGCTGCAACTGGTGTGAACTGCATTATACGAATTATTCCTCAAATGAATCAAGAATAGAGAATACTACAGCCTGTTACTCTGTCACGTCAGCCTTACCTACTATGTGTCACGCCACCCCAAATGTCACGCATGCTCTGATTATTAACGGAACTCTGTGTAATGTCGCGGCAGCGGAGCAAAGAGATTGCAGAACATACACCTCGTGTGGTTCGTGCCTTGGGTCATACCCGGGTAGTTCATCAAGCGCGCCGCGGTGTAAATGGTGTATGTTGTGTTCAGGGGGTGGTAAATGCGTTGACAAGGTCATCACATGCAGTAGTACCGCTTCCTGTCAAATATCACAGAATCAACGCACAAGTCTGGCTTCGTGTCCTGAAACATCCTGCCGAGCACCGACCTGCGCAAACTGCTTGCGCGATTCATCCTGCATGTGGACACCACAGCTGAAATGGATCAGCGATACCCAAGAACAGCTGTCTACAAATGATGTTGCATATCCATGGATGTGTTTCAAAACCTCGCTCAAGTCAAAGCATTCTGGTATATCGTATACAGTAGAAAGTACTCCAGACTGTCCTAAGGATTGTACACAGTTTGATACCTGCAAGTTGTGTCTTGACGCAAAGGGTAAGGGCTCTCTTAAATTCTTGAGATTCTTTATGTTTGAGTATTTTGATTAGATTAGGGTGTTGTTTAGTACCGGGGGTGTTGTTTAGTACGGGGGTGTTGTTTAGTACGGGGGTGTTGTTTAGTACGGGGGATGTAGTCAGTTCCTGATTGGAGGGAATTAGATTGAATTCAAATTTAGTTGTTAAGTTTTGCGAAGGAAGAGGAGTCGAGTCCAGGATCGAGTCGTTATTGGTTCCATGCCTTGTTGATTGAATAATTGATTGATTCTATTCTATTGATTGATTCTATTCTATTCTATTCTATTCTAT